ATCTCTTGAACAAATCACCTTTAGGGCGGCAAGATAGGTTCTTCAAGAAAAGGGAGGAACAAGGGAAAACAGGAGGTTTTCCCCGTGGACCGACCCGTGACAAGATCCTACTCGCAGGCCCTTAACAACATGAAATATCAAAAGTCTCCAAATAAGGAACTTTATTTTTAACAAAATCATAATCAAACAAGAACTTAATTTTTTTAGCATGTATATGATCCAAACGTTTATGCTTTAAGTCCCAAACATTATTTCTATGATCCAAAAAGGAACTAAAAATAGAAAATTGAAATAAGTTGATGTTGCTATTTGAGACTTTTTGAACTCCAATGCATACAGATGACCCATACTATGCCTATTCCCTTTCACCTTCCTAATGTACCGGTCCTAAATCAAACAACCATCATAAAACAAAGAGAGAATGTGACCTTCATCAAAAGGTTTACCAATAGGACTGCAAACAGATCGGATCGGATTCAGTAAGGGTATATCCAATCTGATCCGTTAAGAAAATCCGACTGAACCGAATCTGATAAGAATCCATCGGGTTTTCAAGAGCATGATTCGAATTCGAATATATTATCAATCTGATACAATTAGAATTATAATAAAAAAACTTGATGATGTAACATAAATAATATATTATATTATTATTATATAATATAATAATATATTAAAATATAAAATATATAACATAATATATAATATTTCATAATTAACGGATCGGATCGGGTCACAACAGATCGGATCAGTCAATATCTGAATTCAATTCATTAAGTTAACAGATCAGATTTTCCGATCCGATACGATATATTAGGATCAGGAGGGATATCCAAATCCACCTCTTAACAGATTGGTATCGGATTCAGATCGGATCTGATCCGACTTATTTGCAGCCCTAAGAAATAAGGTTAATAGTAAGATTGGAAACAAAGGTCTTGTTGATTGGGAAGCAATGGATGAAAGCTTAAGAGACAGATCATTACTACCAATCGTGTTCAAATCCCCAAAATCAATGATCTAAACATGAGAAGGAGAAGAACAATAACTAGATAACTCACCAAATCGGACAATAGTAGGAAAAGTGGAAGAGATACCAAAAAGTACTAGTTGTCGAATTATTCCTTCATCTATAGATGCAAAAGATTCGCCTTCAGCAGAAGAATCACCCTTTATAGTGGTAATGTTAGTAGTCTATCCTTCAGTTGCCTAATATCCATGAGGTTGTGTCTTCTTTTGAGTACCATTGGGTGGTCGAACAGGACAATCTGAAATGATGCAGCCATGTTGTTTACTATTAGAATGCTCGAGTCAGGGGTATTTTGGTCATTCTGGTTTATCTTCTTGAAAGTGAAAGGTCTATTGTATCTGAGTTTAAGTTATGTGTCCCATCTTATATGAGGGACAAAATTGTCTTTCTTGTAACTCTAAGTTTTATGAATAAAATTCAAGTGGGTCRGCTAGGAGAGTGATTTTTCACATTCTCTCTTCTAGTCTGGCCGAGCACTCTTCTTCTTTCTCTTTTCTTTCTTCTTCCTTCTTCTCTACTTTGACCTAGAATCAACTAGGGTTTATTCACATTTACAATAGGTCATACATTCTTCTTTTTACAATGAGATGTAATATGGCTAGAACCCTTATATTCATAGTATAGAGTCTTAGAGAAGTCCTTGAAAGATGATTCTTACTCCCATGAGCTATAAACATGTTATTAGCCCTAGATTCCATCATCTTTCCATCAAATCTAGCTGCAATAAGGAGTCTAGTCTCCTCCCTCAATAATTTTCCCAACACAGAATCTCAAGTCTGTAAGAGTACCTCTGCTCAAAATATTAAGGGCAGCCCAGTGCACAAGGCTCCCACCAATGCGGGGCCTGAGGAGGAACAGATGTACGCAGCCATACCCCTGCACATATAGAAGCTGTTTCCAAGATTTGAACCATGTTCACCCTCTCATATTCATGTCTAAGCCTCATTAGAAATTGATTCACCTTTCTCTTTTCAGAATGTTTTTAATATACTTACACATTTCGAAGAATCAGAAGGATCAATATGGACCGACTCATATTCAACCCATAGATCAAGAAAACATACATGATGCTGCTGTGTCTTCAATACTTCCTAGACATATTCGATTGATGATAAACCTTCTGCAAATAAGAATACATCTCATTTGTGCTCTTCATCCATTCTCAGGTACAACAATATTAGACTCTATTGAGCTAAGAATCTAGTTTTCATTGCTGAAATTCATTCACATCAGACTCATAAAAAATGCCTTCACATCAGTCTCAGCTGGTTAGTAAACGTTCCATTCGGATATCCTTCCAAACCTTTTCCTTCAACATAGAATTCAAAATGAAACTTCCACACCCCAAAACCAAGGTTCCAGTGTTGGCAGTCCAAAGAAGATAAGTTCTAGGGATGTCAAACAAGAAAATGGATCAAAAACACTTCAAAACCAATCTGAAATTTGAAAAGTCAAAGAAGATGATAGAGGGCTCTAGGGTAACACCAGATCTAAGAGCCAAGGTTGATTGGATCAACCGATCGAGCAAAAATGAGAGAACACCAACCTGTTAAGTGCCTTTTCCAGGAAAACAGCAACTTCTTGGGCTGATCAAAACAGCCTTCAGAAAGACGTCAAACCTGTGATTGAAAATAGTTCAAACACTCATCGAACAACCCTTCCAGATCCCTGGATTCAAACTGAAGTAACCTGCTCTTATACCATCATGGTATAATGATGTTCAATTACTAGCAGTTCGAATAGGAAGAACACACACAAGTTCAGGGGTGTCAATAGAATGATCAACCTCCACCCCCTAAGAGTCCTCTATTAAAGATATGTTCAATTACAAGAAAGCCTTTACAAGGCTGAAAGAAAAGAAATAAAATAATATGTAGTATATAACAAGGACTATAATAGTACAGTACATTAAAACTCTGCACAACAAGAAAGGTGAAGACTTTAAATTTCAGAAGTCTGGTTATTGTACAGGATTCAAAAGTTGTAACTGGATGGAATTTCTGAGATCTCATGGAAATATAAATACTGAAAAAAAAAAACATTCTAGAGGACCTCAGAGCAATTGTAACTTGGATTCCACAGTTTGTAAATGGGTTGGAAAAACAAGAAGCTATGAGTGACAGTATGTTTTGAGGCCATGTAAAAGATTATGTTTTCTGTATGCAGGAGAGTGTTAGTCAAGGCTAACCACCTCCTTGGGGTGCAAGATTGCTATTCTCCTTTTAACAGCATTAATAAATTTTTTAGTTAACCATCACAAAAAAAAGACCAAATTCAATCTAAAAGCAACAGGTAAGAAAAAACTTGAATCTGAATATTGAGGAATTAATTTGGGATCTATGCATATCTGATTCAATCTGACCATTTGCAGCCCTACAGTAGTGTTACCCAACCATCAGTAATTCTTGCAAATGGAACACATTGAGCATTTAAATGAAAGAATGTCCACAAAGTACAAACTAAGATGCAAAAAATATCTATGTGAAGTGGTGAAGTGAAATTCACTTGAGTGTGTCTGTACGTGTGTGTACATATATACAACAAACCTTGCTCAAAGGGACACCGAGCTGGATCTTCCCCAAAATATTGAGATAAGGAATCGGCATTCCTTCCCTACAAGATAATACAATCAAATAAAAATTAATAATTGACCAAATTTTCATAATGTGAAGCAACTCAGTTTATGGACTCACCACTTCAGAATACAAGGATATAAGTGACCTCACTTCAGCTTCAGCAGTATCAAGAAAATTCTTTAAAGCCTGAAAAGAAGTTTTAGATGTTTTCACTCTGAAAGGTCCTATATGTTAAAAAAGTTAGTAAAAGCAAAGATAACTACATGACAAAACAGAGCTACAATAAAATAAATAAATTTATGGGCCAGAACAATGAAGACCTGAACAGGGCTACAATAATGAGTTGGCAGGGCTTCTATGATCTAACCTGAGCATAGTTGTCAAGGCGACACCTAGGCGGCAAGGCGCCCTTGGAGGCTCGCCTTGCCTAATCGCCAAGAAGTTTTCTATAGCGTGTTATAAAAAACCTTTATATTCTTAATTTTTTGAGGTTATAATTATAAAATAAACATTTTAAAACTAAAATATCCATTTTGTGTGTTTATATACTAATTTCTTTTTATTATTTTCTTATTTGTTAGGGTTTAATCAACACAAACATTGCTAAATGTTGTATTGAACCCTCAAAGACTTCAAAACCTGAACCAATAAGTAAGGAAGAACATAAAATGTTGTCCATTCAACACATTTTCTTCTTTTTCTTTACTAATTTTGTGTGTATATACTGATTTCTTCTTTTTCTTTTCATGAATATGTTGGAATATGCTGATTGTCTATACACATGAAGTTTATACTTTTCTTATGAAAATCATGGATATTTATTAAGGAAATATGATTATGGAACCTAGGGAACTACCCTAAGATACATGTTTTTACTTAAAAAAAAATCCATCGCCTAGGCGACTAGGCAACAAGGCGCCCCCCCTGTCACCTAGCCTCGCCTTGGCAATTGGCGCCTTGAAAACTATGAAATCTGAGCTAAAGTTTAGGCATGCAAGCTACCAGAAATCTATTTAAACTTCCTTAGCCGGTTCTGCCTAAGTTGAGGAAGTGCCAAATTGCATCATAGCTTGGCTTATTTGGATTGTTGAATATATAGTGTGTGTTCCCTATAAATATAGAATACCTGTATATAATTAATGTATTATATACAATAAATGAAAACCTTATATTCTTGTTTTTGTCTCATTTAGTAAATATGGCATTCTTGAGTTATGGGTTCCACATTTGAACCAGAATGGACCTAATGCCAATGAGCCAAGGTCAAACTTGGAAATATTTGGTGAGACAAGCATATAAACATGGTTAGCTTGACTCAATTGCAGTACTAATCCAGTAAGATGGTGAACTGAAAATACTCTTAAAATTTCGCAACCTGCACTTGGCAGCAAGCTTATGCACATTCTTTGTGATTCTAGATCATGCAAATTGAAACAAGATCAGAGAAATTCCATCCAAACAATATATACCTGAAACATTTTTGCTAATTCTTGAGGATTTTGCTGTCATTGGATCAATTTCACCTTTGATATCTTTATTTCTTATTTATTTTTGTTTATTTAGTTAGCTGGGACCACAGATTATTTATTAGAAGTTATTAGAGTAGAAGTTTTTATTTCTTTTTAAGTTGTAAGCACCAGCCACCCTATTAAGGGTATTCTTGTCTTTGTACACACCTTTTTATTTTAAGTATAAAAGTTAATGAGAGGGGGGCAGCCAGATTTATTGGCTTCTCTTCTTTTCTTCATTCTCCCTTCTCTTCTCTTTTATATCTGTTTTATATTTCTGTTGATTTCTACTTGGTATCAGAGCCTAGTTAGGTCTCCTTGAAGCACATCCATGCAGCCCTAGATCAGCCGATTGCATGAGGGAACTGGAGTCTTTGTACACATCTGGATAGCCCAGTTCTTTGATTTTTTTGGCGGGGTACAGTCATCAGGAGGGTGATTTGTGTTTAGGCATCAAAATCAGGAAGAACTGGAGTGACGGGAAGAGTCCTAGTTGGGTGGGAAGCTTTATTTTGACCTGGTGAAGGGTGCTAGGTTTTTTTGGATACTTAAGGAGTTTCTATAGAGGATGGTTCAATTTCTGGCTCTTTCTGAGACTCATGGAGAGATCGATTTGGGTTTCTCTCTTTTCTCTCCTTCCACGGGAAGGGAGAATTCTCTCCAGGTTGGGTTTTCAACTCCCAGAAAAGATCCACATCCTTTTTTATGAATTTGATCCCTTTTCGAGTGTTTTTTATGTGCCTTTTAAATTGATAGAGTTGATATGGAGGGTTATAGTGCTAAACAAAAATCAACTAGTGACCCAGGCTTTGAGGAGGAAGTGTTGGTGACCCATTTGGATCAAGGATTATTATCGCAGTTAAATTGGATGGTACAGACTATCTATAATGGGCACAATCAGACAAGATGGCTATTGGTGCACATGGAAAACTGGGGTATATTACTGGGGAGGAGAAGAAACCGGATACAAATCCTTCCAAGTGGGTGCAGGAAAATTACATGGTGATGTCTTGGGTGCAATTTTATGTTACCACATATTGGAAAAAAATTTTCGTAGGTCGATATTGCAAAGGAGATCTGGGCTGGAGTAACCATAGTTGTCAAGACAACTAGGCGAGTCGACTAGGCAGGTGCCTAGGCGATGGAATCTGAAAGCTTAAAATCTTAGGGTCCCTACTTCTCCAAAACTACTTTATTAGTTTTTTACACTAACCAACATACCTGAGTAACCTATTAGCAATAAAACCATTCAAATGAGTAACTAATTATAAATTTCATATAAAACATAAAAATATCAACATAAATGCATCATTTAAATATATTAATTTCAATGCTTAATAACCTGTACCAGGACAACTAAAAAAGAAATGCTGTGAGAAAAAGAGAAAAAAGAATTTCTTAAAAAATAAGAAAATAAGTGGATGATTAGAATGTGTTTAAGGGGCAAAAACCCTGTTTCAGGCCAATAACAAGGTTGAATGCAGCGAAAAAGGAGAAAAATAAGGGGACAGAGCCCCTGTTTCATTCCAAAATAAACATTATTAAAAAATAGTGCAAAAAATACAAGAAAATATTTAGAAAGTTGAGGCGCAGCCCTGTTTCAGAAGAATGGGAGTGCCCCAGTTTTGTTAACAAAAATATTTAAAAAAAAACTATGAAAATAAAAGAGTAATAGGAATCGATTAAACTTGAATGACTGAAGAGCATCTCCACCGTTGTCGTCGACGATGCATGTGTGGGTTTCTCCGCCGATACAATTCATTGCTTTCTTGACGAACGTTGCCGCCGTCGATGAATCCTTACCGGAGACTGTGAACACCGGCGTCCAGCAACAAATCTCAGTGAGTTAATGAAGGAACAAGTCAAAATGGAAAGAAGGAGGTAGGGGTGCTTGGTCTCGAGTCATACTGTAGCAGGAGGATCTTCTTTAGATCATAACTTTTCTCCAAGAGATTGTAGGAAAGCAACAACGAGCTACAGCAGATAGGAAGCCAATTTCAAAAGGAATAGTTCTTCTATTACAGTCGAAAGAAAATAAATGGGGTAGGTTCATTTGCCTGTGTAGCTAGGAAAATTCAGAAAGATCTAGAAGCATTTGTATCCCTGAAGAACCATCAGTTGGAAGTTGAAGGAACTTCGTTCAGCTGTTAAATTTGTTCTGTTTCAACAGACCTTTTTATGGGACCAAAGACCTTTCATAGAACCTCTTTCCTCCCCTAGACACCAAAAGTAGAATCATCAGGGCAGGAGGTTCTGCCTTCATTTCCGTCGCCCATCACGACATACCTTTCGAAAACTGGAAGTTTGCATTTGTTTGTTCCAAGCCTCATCCCTTGAGTTGGAAAGACATAGAACTTGATCTGTCTGCAAGTTTGCACTCCGACGTCCTGCTGGAACTTTCTCCGTTCGAAGAAGACAAAGTTGTGGGTTTCGCCCCCTCTGAAGAGTTGGTTCAGGCATGGGCGAAATAGGAACTAGTTCCAGTATATGGGTAATGGGTAAAGCTAGAAAGGTGGTGACCGGCGGTAAACGCAGCTCCAGGCTCCCTGAACTTCAACGGTTGGATAAGATTTCGAGGTCTCCCGTTCCACCTCTGGACGATGGAGACTTTCTTGCTAATAGGAGATCTGTGCGGTGGCTTGGAAGAAGTGGATCCTGACTCGCTGAATTTCCTCAATCTGAAATATGCCAGAATTAAAATTAGAAGTAGGGGGGTCCATGCTATCCCCAGGTCTATTCCTCTCCTGGACAACGTCTGGTTCTACCTCTCCCTGGAGGCGGAGAAGACGAACAAGTTTCCTCCTCAGACCGAGCGAAATCGTTCCAATGGCTCTCTACCATGTGGCACCTTCCCCAACTTTGCCCAAACGCATGCTAGCGCAGACAGGAACCGTAACAGACAAGACAAGCAGGCAGCAGAAAGCAGAGCAAACTCTCAGGCAAGAAGTTTCCATATTAAGGTTAGAGAGGAACAAGGTTTTAAAAGGAAGACAGGAGCTGGAAAATCTTCCCATCCCCTTATAAAGAATCATCCAAAGTTTCTTCCCAAGAACCCGACCCACCCGACCCGATAGTTAACAACTTTGAGATTTTGGGCTCCCTTCCGGAGGCCCATAGCCCTTCTGTGAAACTGGATCCTCCTCAGTTAAGCCCACCAGAGACCCCCTCTTTCTCTGGACAACCAGTGCCGAAAACCCCACCCAGCTTTGGTAAGGATAAAGGAACTGTGTACAGAGTTCCAACACCTTCAACCAACCTTGATGAATCTTCCGACTATGAAGAAGCTGATTCGAGTGATGATGACAGTCCTTATGAAATAGAAAGTGAAGATGATCCTCCAGAGAAAGCTTTTCAAAGGGCTCACAAAGTATTTGCAGGGAAGGAGATATGGGGAAGTGTGGAGATTCTTGAACAAGTCCAACTGGTCAACCCGGATTATGGAAAAGCTTCAGATTCGGGTAGTCTTAATCACAGACAAGGAAGAGAATCACCACCCTACCATTCCAATTCGTGCCATTCCAGCCGAACGTCTTCAAGGACTTCCCTCGCCCCTTCTACCACAGGTTTGAATAAATCCCAAGTTTTTGTTTTCTCTAAAGGTTCTCCTTGTTTTGTCAGACATCTGAGCCAAACAGCTCGGAAAGGAAGGTTTCAGAGGATCTAGCAACAGTGAATCTC